TTACTCTCGTTACAAAGAAGAGAAAATTAGGACTATACAAACTCTGTCTCAAAGTTATGGAGCTACCTGGTGTGAATATGGACAATAAATTGTGTCCAAAACATTATCTGGTTTATGATACTGTTTCAATATGTGACATTTCTAATAAACAAATTAAAATGGCTTATCAAAGCTCTCAACTCTGACTCACCCAGCCATAACAGGGCTTATGGAGAGTCGTCACGTGAACAGACGACAACTAGTGCTGTCCACTTAGGATGTCCAAGGTCACCGTTCCTATTTAACTTCTTCATAAGCGTACTAATGGACACAAACTTAATTACCTTTGACTTCACAGGGACTGACCTGCTCCCTGGTTGACTTGGAGTGTGCAGACGATATTGTTCTGTTAAGTGAAGATGCTGACAAAATGCGGGGTCTTCTGAACGCGTTGAGCAGAAGTTTGAATATGCTTTGCATGCATTTCGCTAGCACCTGTCAGATGTAAGATGATGCTCCAGAACTGATACAATGCAAGTACTCCCACTTTAACGATAGGGAGTGAAGTAATGGCATACGTCGATCACTTCACTTACTTGGTGAGTTGCATCAACCCGAACGGGTTGGTTGCTGACGAAATCTCAACTAGGATACAAAAGGTCCATCGGGCATTTGACAACTTGAGTCACATGTGGCACCGACTGGTGAACTATCCGACCATCTATCAAACGACTACACTGGGCTGCAGTCCGTTCCGTCTCGTGAGACATGGCCGTAGAAGACATAAAACGACTACAGAGTTTTGATTATAGTTGTATTCGTAACATTGCTCCCATTTGGTGGAGTCATCATGTGAACAAAGTTGATGTCAGGCGAAGAGTACTAGGTAAGTTAGGTAATTTAGTTGATGAGGTTGTGAATCTTCGACTGGACTGAGATGGCTTGGATATGTATTGTGCATGCCAATCCACCGCCTACCTCAATATACTATGCTAGGGGAAGCCGGATTAGGTTGGAAGAGGGTTCAGGATAACCACACCAAGACGTGACACCACTCGATGAAGTCTTTTACTGTTGGTCTGAACCATGTAGGGAGACCTAAACTGCTGGGTTGGCGTCTTCGAGACGAAAGGAATCAGTGATTGAGAACGCTTGGTGATGTGGCTGAAAATCGGTCACAATGGCGCAGTTATATTCATTTCTTGACATCTTCTAAAGCTTAAATATTCAGAATAGCCTTCATCTTTAAATTGTTGATACTCTCTCACAACTTTGTCTACCATGATACCACTCTTCTTTTATCTACTTGTTCTCTGTGTACTACTGTGAAGTGTGGCAACTTGAGCCGATGGACCTGTATGCGAGGTTCTGCGTTGATTTTGTGAATCAGTCAGCCATATAGTGACTAAGTTTCCAGGTTTGATAGTCATCAGACGTTCAGGTAAAGCCCTGAAACGATGAAACCCGAGACATCTAGACAGGTTTCAGAGCTGGTTATGGCTGTATCTTCTAGACACTCACTATCTGTCAGATTTTGAAGTACAGACATACTTACCGGTGCTTGAAGCTAGTTGTATTTATTGGTCTAAAGGCGATATTTGTCTCCCCAAATGGAAAAGTCTTATAGAAGTGTGTCTCACTGAGACGGGTATCGAGTAAGTTCATCACTCTGCTAAAGGCTCCATATCCAAACACATAAAGGTTGAAGCCTATGATTAGGTATCAATTCAGCTACATATGCCGTGGTGCCCAACGAGGATACTCACTTTCTTTACTTTTTTCATTCACTAATTTTCCATATTTGGATTCAGGTCCCTTTTCACCTTAAGAAAATCTAAGTGATAAACGTTATACCTGCTTCAAGGTGGCGATAAAAAACAATTCTGACAAATATATGACTGCACAACCGAAGGAAGAGGTTACTGAAGACATGTTTTCTTTTAAACATAAATGCACAATGAGGGTGACCGTAATTCCATTAGAAGCCTGTCCCAACTGTTTTCAATCTAAAAAGTAGAAATGCACCAGGCAACCACGCGTATTTTATGAGGTAGGCAATAAATCTTAACGATTGTGTGAGGATCAACGATAAACGGGTGAAGGTCACATCCATAGACCCATGAGCCACATCTACACAATTTAGAGTACGAGAAAAAGATCAATGTATAAATCTGCATAGAACTCTGTCAGTTTAGACCATCGCACTAAGAGAACGGAAATAATGAGATAAAAAGAGCAATGAATCTAGAAGCTACATAGCCGCCAAACTTCACCATTGAGAAACTTTAACCGACTAAGCTATGAACACCTATTTTTTGATTACGAAACGACATTGAACCAATGCTTAACAGGACAGAAATGATAAAATGTCCATCTCTACCAATCCAAACGTGAATTTAGGATTTTCATGACGCCAAAGTATTATGATGCCAGACCAGAAAATAGCGGACTGGAAACACATTATATGAATAAATTTGAAAACGATTACATTCAGCTATATCTTTTTTACTTTAAAAAACTGCAAAACATGAATAGATCAAATTGAAATCACCAACGATGTTAACTGATAGTGTATGTAGTTATGCAATGTGTACATACTTGAGAATAAGGAAACATACATGCCAACGCAAATATTTACTCACAGCTGTTGTACAAAACTTCGACTTAAAAGTATGTATTATTTTATTGTAACAATACTTATAATTTCCCGTTGCTATACACGGCCGAATTGCTCGACCAGTGTTGGTAGGTGGGTTCCTGTGCAAGAGCCCCGATATCGCTGGATATTCATGTTATACTGAACTTGGTGACTAGAGGAGGAATTCAGGAAAAGCAGGTCGAGCAATTCAGCCCCGTATAGCAACAGGAAATCAGAAGTAACATTACAGCAATTAATACTCGTTGCACAAGAGGTGGCTATTGCGCCTCAGTGGCTTAGCGTATAACGCTGTGGCGTTTCAATTGAAGGTTACTGGGTTCTAACCTCAGTGGGAACAACACTCATGGGTGCAGGTGCACCCAGCCAACGAGTCCCAGAGGATGAGACGGGCGTCACGGATTTCTCTGCTAATTGCCAAGTTCAAAGTATGTTGTAATGATTTTCAGTAGTTTAGTGTGAAACTGGAAATTTTCTAAAACGAAATAGCTTCCCATAACTTTAAAATGAACATATTACAACCATTACTTAAAATGGGCTGGACTACAAGAAAGAACATAGTCAGAACCATTAAAAGAGGTCAAACCGTCTAGCTTCGGAAGTTTGTTTTCGAAATTAAGGTGCGAAACAGTAGAATTATTCATTAGAGTAAGATCAGTTGACACCAACTTTAATATTTTCAAATCGAGAATGCATTTTTCTGATTTTACTAACCACAATTAGCAAAGAAAGTATGTTTAACACTTTCAATTTTGAAGAGAAGCATGAAAAACTCTTTGTCACAACTAAATCTCGCTTTGTCAGCCCGATTTTAGTTCAGAAAATCATTATCTTTATTTCTTCATACAGTGAATATTCTTAACAAGCGAGAATTATGCTACCAGTAAGTCTGAAATTCACTTGTAAGGTTCCAATAAAGAAGTATCGTTCTAGCTACTCAAGAGGAAATTACTTTGGAAAACAACTCAGTGACCTAAGTATAAAATGTAAGTAGCTTTGAGCGTAGCCAAACAAAAAGCTTTCGCTGTAGTTGGTGCTTAAAATTCTTACTAAAAAATATTTGTCACCATACAAGTGATGCTGACAGATATGCACTTCAAGCAGATTTGAAGGAACTGGTTGGTTGGTTCAAACGTTGGTGCGTGGAAATCAACCCTAGTGAAAGTAAAATAATGCGCATTGGTCATAGCAACTGTTCCCAGTATTCCGTTGATGATACACCACTACTGCACCTTAGAACAGAAAGAATCAGGTATAATCATAAGTCATGATTTGAAAACCTTGGTGCACTGTAATGCAGCTGCAGCAAAGGGCTTCTGATTATTATGGTCCATCCGCAGAACCTCCAAACATTTTGATCAGGATATGCTCAGAATAATCTGTTCTACTTATATTTGACCCCACTTGGAATACTGTATTCAGACGGCGAGCCCATGTCTGAAGAAGGAAGCTGACATACTTGAACGTGTTTAAAGGGCAGGTACTAAGCTTGTAGCAGGCCTTTCGAATCTGCTCTATGTGCCATTTTTTCTCCCCTGCTAAGATTGACTATCTCCGAGGGTATCACAAGAAAATCGAAAAGCAGCGGTCGAATCAACTTAGCGTGGATCCGCATTTCTCTCGTCGTATGATCAACGACTGCGACTCCTTACCTCAGGAAATAGTATCAGCACCTTCTAGCAATAGGTTCAATGAGAAACTAGATAGTCACAGAGATATCTTCTGCTAGGAGTAACATAGGCCAGCTGGCCTACTATCCTTATAGCTGAAACTGAGGTTAGTAAAGTGAGGAAAACAACATCGCCACATCTACAGATTTTAGTCTCATAAGCAACAATTCATTTTGGCTATCATGGCAGATAACTTAGTTTTTGTCAGTCCTTGAGACTAGCTTCAAGATAGTAAACGTAGTCTAGTTTGGGAAGAGAGGGAAAGGTTGGGAATATAAGGGGAAGTGGTGCAACATGTTAAATATATAAACCAGATAAAACTATGCAGATAGCGTTCCAGTGCATGCAGCACACACTACATTAAGTCAGGAGGAGGCCTCAGCTAGATATCGACATACACACAAAATTTCCGTGAATACATTTGGGTATACCGGAAGGAATTCAAAATGTCTAAATAAAGAGGCCGGGTGGAAAAGCCACTTTTTGATGGTGTACATGGACGTAATGGAAATACGAAAAAATGAACGCATAAATATTCCTTTTGAATAAGAACAAACGCTTTATTTTTCAGTTTTATGCAAGAAGAAAGAGATGTCAAACATTAAAAATTAGTGAACATTTATTCACATTACCCTCGTTAAAATATTCACTGAAACCCGCCATGCACTTTTCAGAACAAAAATACATTTACTTACACCAAAGGCTTCAGGCCTTTGTAACGCAACAACTGATCTCTGCGGGTTTCACAGGCATATTTAATGCCCAATTCTCAACGTAAATACTTCAGCGAGAAATTCATATTTTGACTTTACAAAAGTGATTGCGTGAGAACTGAGTGATGGTGCTACTTTGGTTATTTTCGGTTCATGAATTTTTAAGAATCACAAAGCTATGAAGCCTGAAAAGTAGGATTTAGTAAGTTTATCAGTAATTACTACTTACTATACTTTTCCATTTGGATGGCAAACACCCCATATTTTCATTACCTTAGGAGGCAAGCTTCAACTTATCGTCATCGTACTGTGCAAAATATGAGGAAATTTTTTAATTTAGCGTAGCCTTCAACATTAACATTCTGTTTTATAATATAAGCCCTTTCGTTCTGCACACACAACCCCATTCCACCCTCTAGGAATTCGATAAAATTATCGAGCCACCGGTCTTACAGACGACCTGTCCTTGCCCTCGCGGAACTGTAGAAGATAAGCCTGAGCAAGAATGCAATTATTTTTTCGTGTGTGGCGTTAATGAGATCTTACAACATTTGCAATGGCCATCCCAGCTCACTACTCTTCAACCGTCTTCCTGTTAACCATCCCCCCTTCGTGAAATAAAAACATAAAATGGGTTAGTGTTAAATGGCAAGGATTTCAAGAGGGGACTGTGTATTAAGCAATCAACATATTCCGAAATATTGAAGCTTTACCTACCTGAATGAGAGTGCACCAGTTATAGTATACAAACAGCCTCTCTCTGGTGTCACTGAGTTCACAGTTAAAGAGCGAAACACAAACTTCTAAAACCATCAGGAGCAGTGACTGGGAAGTTTGAATGGTTAGGCATATTCTGAAACCTCATATCTTAGCGACATTCAACTTCGCTTGAAATACACAAAATCAAGAGGCGGCAATAGACCGTGCCCGTGAATGAGTCATATTTTCAGTCTGTCAATCAATCCCGCATGCTCATATCACTTCACACGCTTGAATCTTACATCTTGTGCCGATTTTCGGGATTTTCAACGGAAAAATACACGACCGGGTCGACCTGGCATAGGAAGCCGCTAACAACACGTTAAACCTTTTTATTTCAATTTGTCGGCATGTTTCTGCTCATGTAATCAGCATCTTAGTCATAAGTTGGTGAATCGAGAAAATATCGTGGCCGGACAGAATCAGCTGATCATCCTCACAATAAGCATTTATGGTCCTTACCCAACGCCTTCTACCCATTAACTGTGTGGCTTGAACCTTAGGCACGTTGCTGATCTAGCACATCACATTTAAGCACACTTCGTTGGTCCTTGCCTTTTTGAAGTGAAGGCGAAATCGCAAATGAAGTCAAATACACCTGATAAGTGCGTTTTAAGAATACCTCCAGCTTGACTATCTATAAACCTCTTCTCAGGGGTTAAAGAGCCAGATTCATACCGTACATATTTCGTCCCGATTTGCCGAATAACTTAGGCCCTAGTTGGTAGAGACAGAAGGCCTACCTTCCCCAGAGTTGGTTTCAAACCTGAAAAGTTTAATTACAGTATCTGAAAAGCATTATGCTGTCGCTGAACCATCTTATGAGATTCACGATGAGAGATTATCTTCCTGAGACCTGGTTTACTTCGGAGGGGAATCAGGAGTTTACTTGGCACTTTTTCTATTTACTTTTAAGCTCTCTTGTTGGGGTGTGCGTTACTATTCCGTAACATTCGACCAACCCTCCTTAATTCGATGTGATGTGGTACCTGATTAACTAGTGCCTTACCTAACGTGTAAGTACTGATAACGAATCACAAATCAAAAGGACTGGCTCGCCAATATATTTGACGAATTAATGTAGTTAATTAGAGTAATTGTAATGGTTTTGATTGGGGGAAACGTTTATTCAACTTACCTGGCTAGTATGGCTGAGTTAGGGACTCTGGGTACGTGCGTGCTAACCAGCACTACGGAAGCGCAAAATGACGTCCAAGCCTGCTCGGATACATTCTTGTCGAAGCGAAACGTTAAAGACCTGAAGTATCCGGAGGTGAGCTTGAGGTTTATTTAGGTAATTAAATTTAATCTGTTTATTTAAGCTCTACTTGCATTTTTGTGCCACGATGGTGCACTACACTCGCCTTAGCATCATGTCGTCAGCAGCTGAAAACTAGAAAATGTGGCAGAGGAGACGAATCATCTGTGTAAGCAAGGGGGCGAGTCGCCATGTGATCATACAGCGTGGTATTTCATTTCAGAGGCGTAAACTACCGGTTTGCTTCAGGTCAGTTTGCAGATTCGTAGGTACCATCAACAGCCACACCAGAACGGAGAATAGCCAACTGGACAGACATCTGGTTAACATTATTTTGACGGCCTTCAACCCTTCTTTTTTACAATCCGCTAGGATGTGTATGGGCTTTGGGGAGCCAGCGTTGACATTTCTCAACGGAAGCCTCCTGAATAGTTTCTACTATGAAGGAGGGAAGTGTTGCTCTGGCTAACCAGTTTAAGGGTCATCTACTTCAGCCTTAAAGGACAGCTGCCAGTTGAACGTTATTCGCATTCAAGAGATTTTTTCAGGAATCTTTTCCTATTTTGGTTGAACTGAAGGAGTTGCTACTCCATGTTTCTTGAGAATGGCCGGCGTACCCGAACGATATCTTGAAAACAAAAGTCACCAGACTTCGCTAGGAGCGCCTTCATTCTCCAGCGTCCCAAATGAGGGACTCCTGATGAAATGCCGACTTCAGGCTATGCACCAACCAAATTAAATACCAAAGGTAGGCTCCTGACTACTTCAGATTTATAAAGTTGCATCTTAAGGGCCTTGGGATATTTTAAAGTTGGCCAGGTGAAACCTGATTGCCTTAAAAGACCAAATTACTTTGCACCTCAGTCTACGACAGATGTTATAACTTTGGGTTTTGCCATCCTTGGTCCCAAAGCTGTTCCGAAACAGTCACAACACATGCCCATGAGGGCATGCATGCCTCACGTATACTGCCACGGTTTCATATAATGTTGAATCAGCTGATTTGAGTGGTTGGCGAATACTTCCATTTCCTACCCAAGAGGAAGTTAATGCAAATAGTGAATGTTCAGGCATATGACAGTGATTTTTTTGCATATGTTTGTGGTTGGGATGAAGATGTGCAGTTTTGCTTAAAGATGTAATAGGGAATCGGTTCAAATGGATTTTCGACCCTTAACGTCGGAATGTAAATAGAAGAGAAATGAATTAGAGGCATTTTACAGCCCTGAGAAGTAGCGCTACCTTAACCACACAGAAACCCTTCTATACGCTTGAGAAGACGTGGATAGCACTGGATTGTCGGTTCTGAATTCTGGAGACCACTGATGGATTTACTTCAGAACGGGGTATCAGAACGAAAAGCGATTGCCGTACCGGACACCAAACTTGGGCCACACGCGAGAAGAATGCTGTTACCAAGCCTTTTTTAGCTGTGATATCGGTGTTTCAGATGTGTCTGACCATTACAACTCTGCGCTGAGTGCTTTGTGCCAGCTACAGGCGTGTGACTAGGATACTACAATAAAAGGCTGCAACTGTACATTCCGCAAGCACAGCATTTCGTGCGCATGTCGAGATGGTTGTCTACACTTTTTGTGTATGCTGAGTAGCGCGCAGCGGCGCCTCATCACTTACTTTCAAGAGTCGCTAGGGTAGCGCCGGAGGGACAGACAATTTCATAAGATAAATACTCCTCCTTGTGAGGCATTGTATTCCTTACTAAACACTGATATCGAATTTCCGAGATTCAATGCTGACGCTTCAAATATTCCCCACGAATATACGTAGTAAGCCATTGGAAAATCATAAGCTGAACTGCTTGGAGAAGGTGTTTGTAAGGCAGCACAAAGGATTGCGAAAAAGGTGATATGATGACTACTTTTCCCGTTCCAGTTTTCGCCTTCATAAGCCCCTAGCGAAAAGAGAAGAAAATCAGGTAAAATACAAAAAACTAAAGGAAAATCTCCGTGATGAACCTTCAGGCATATAGGTTCATTTTTTCAGTATATCTGCGTGTGTGGTTGTGAGCTGTAGTCTATGTTCCTTGATTTCATTAGTGACCTGTATATTTAGTGAAGTAGTCGTAGTCGTGAGTGCCTGTGTCATCATCCATTTTGTTATTATTATCATCAAATAGTGTTTAGCTTTCCTTACAGGATGTGATTTTTCAAACAAAATATTTACGAATCTACAGCTTGAAAATATGTTTGTTGAAGAGACCCTCATCGCCGAACATTCTGTTCTTCATACTACGGCGGGAATCAGTACACCATATAAGAATGTATAGTAACCTCTAGTTCTATCCAGTGCTTTTTAAAAGTAAGTAAAAAATACTTTGAGTATGTGTGTGTTTAGCAGGACCTTCGTCATGTGACACAAAAGGGGTTATAGGATTAAAAATTCCTTTCGTATTGTAGGCATTACTATGCATGCAAATGGCTCCCTCACTTTGTTCACAATTCGAGATGTATTTCAACCATGTACTTGTATTACACCTTCCTCGCTTCATGATAAAATGAGGACCAAAATAAGCAAAATAAGTACAATTAACTAAATGAACTCCTGGGCACTCTCCAGAGGCTTGAGGTTTGATTTGATCAGTTTTCGTTGCTTGACTTTGAAACTGTGTCAAAGATATCCCGACGTGTGAGTATGTGCTTGAGCGGGTGGGTAGGTACGGCAGTAGGTATTCACCTCACCAGCTTCATAGGCTCCCATTTTGTATACAGTAACTACCAAAAGCCAAGCATGAAACGTTGTGACAAGTGAAATCCTTCACTAAAGCGCAAGACTAAAGGGACTTAGGGTCCCAAAAACAACTCCCAGTAATGCTCAATCCGACATAACCTTCTCAGGGATCACGGAGTTCGCACAGTATCCCCTCACACGATAATTAACATACGACCACTATGCGTACTCGTACTAATTCTTGTGATGCCCCAGTTTTGTATAAAACATTGTTATTGATCCGAACACTTTAACGTGTCATTCCCACATTTTTACGGTATGACTAGTAGTCTACTTTATGCCCCCATTGTGATGTAAGTCGCAAGCTGGTTAACCTTTACTCTTACTATGCGAATGCCCCAAATTGAGGACAAAGTCATTTTTCATGTGTATAATTGTTCACGTGTTTTGGATTGATTTATCATTATATTTTCGGGGCAATACACTCTCCCATCTGCCAGCTTTGGTCTTGCGGTCAGTGGCTCTTCGGGTACTAAGTTAGCTGTCAGCTAAGCGTGCGCACTAT